TTTTTTTCCCCCCCCCCCCCCCGGTAGATCTAGCGTTAATAATTTGAATCAAAGTGCGTCGCAGCAAACTTTTCGTTCAACGGAAGGCAAACATTTTTTTTACCTCGATGCTATGCTGTTCGCGATTGCTATATGTTTTCAAACTTTTTACTGTGTTTTTAATAGCGCATATGGCAAGAGCGATATACTTTTACTGTCCCATGGGCATCACGGTGTTATGTAACATATGCCTGTTCATCTCCACGTCAATCAAGATTGTACAACACAGGAGAGACACGGCCAATCATTTAAGAGGCGTCGATAGCAGACGCCACGACGACAAGAAACAATGGTTCGTCCCCATCCTGAGCTTCGATCCTCTTTTAATAGAATCAAGGAGGAATGCGCGTACAATATCGTGGTTGTTGCTACGACAAAGAGACACACGAATCCCGTGGATTGCTCTTATCGTTGCCGCGTTTACAATGAAAACATTATTTTTAGATGCCCTCATAGATCGAGTGAAACGAACATGTTCCCATGCTTTGATTTGTTTTCATAATGACGAGTTCCTCCGATACAGTAAAAATATATCCATCCGGTCTCGTTCGCGCAACGGTATTCCTCTTTGATCCTTCTTGTACGTATACGCATTAAGTGGTACACGTATGTACCTTATATGTTACTTATATCTGAATGTTTACTTCAATATACAATACAATAACATCTGCAGAATACAAGTAAAATTTCATGCCCATTTCGTAGGTTCAATCTGTATCTGAAACTGTTTATCGTGATGGGCATCAACTGGTCGATGGAAATAATATCGTGGATGTGCAACGACAAGCCAAGGTACATCTGGTACCTGTCCGATCTGACGAACACCTTGCAAGGTGTAATAATCTTCCTGATCTTCGTTTGGAAAGAGAAAATCAGGCGGCTGCTCCTGAAGAGACTCCGCTGCCACGACCGTAACATTCTTTCGAGGAATTCAACACGCAGTGCGTATCATAGTTCGGCATCTCGAACCTGCACCACCAATTCAGTGGGTTCGACACAAGTTATGGCATCACCCGCTGTTCCGATCACGCCTACGTCCTCGGCTACACCAACATCTGCATCCACGTTGCTTCAAGGGAGATTAAATACCGTTATCTAACAACATCGACATTTCTTAACATAAAAGTGCAGAAACTTTTTATATGCACGACACGCGCGCGTTAAGCGACGCAATTACGATAAAGAATCTATATAAGTTATTCGATGCTTCTTTTCATCGTCTATCGCGAATTGTTGTTCAGTAAAGATCTTGCTACTTATACTCGGGGCACTCGTTGTGTAACCGGTATCTGAATTTCAATTTGTAAGAGCTCTATTATCTAGGTGTATCGCGTAGCTTTTTCATATTCAAATGTTTTCCCGATTCCGACGTGCTGAATCTTTGAATCACTTTGCTTGAACTTCGCAATTCCGTTTGATCGAACGATAAGAGAACAGAACGCCAAAAATATTCTATCTAGTCGTTGAGTTGTCAACATTATAACTAGACTGTAAATGCTTGTACTGACTATACTATTTTTTTTAATTATTTTTACGATATACAGGCTGGAGTCAAGTGCATAAACTAGTTGGCATAATAAAAATGAAATAAAAGGTTTATTAGTTTTTGTCGAGAAGCTTTAGTATCTATGAAAGCTTCAGTATCGTTTCCATACAGCATAAATACACGAAATGTACAGTCTAGTTATGGCTATAGCCGCAGCTATAGCTGTAGCAATATATTATCAACGTGGCTATGATGTTAATTCATTTTACTTTGGTTTTAAAAATGAGTCGTATTCAAAAATAATTCCATTTACAACCGTAACGTTCAGGTTTCGTATTGCATGTACTTTTTGATCACGATCTTCATTTTTTTTTTACGAGTTTATGCTGCATGCTAAGGGAATGACCGGAGCGTATCGTCCAACGTACAAGTATAATTTTAGAGGTATAATAAGCCTCATCTGTACGAGACACATTGTGCTGTACAAACGAATTTTCTAATGTTTCTTTCATATATGTATCACACATGTGTATAAATTATGTATTTTTTATTCTTAATCAATATTAAAGTATAGTACAAACATCAAGTATTTTATATGTAATACAATACTATTTTACCTACTAACTGTAGTCTTGAAACTTGTGTCAACTATGATATTATATGTAACCGCGCAACACGTGTAGAAAATCTGTTCAGTTACCCGCAACGTATAAGCAACTACAAAAAAACGCGTCGATGAGAGACGTATCCACCGAACATTCTCGATTGATCCGCCTGGCATTATGCTTGTTAAATATGCTTGTTCATATGTACACGTTCCTTAAAACATTCTATATACAGGTCAAAATATTTTCAATTATAGGGAATCAATTTCCCTCATTGCTGGTTTCTTTTCCTTTTTTACTTTTATTTAAGCAAATACATCTTCTCGGTCGGCACCGACACCTTCCCCGTCCTCCAGGCTTGAGAAATTTAAGAAGTGCGCCGGTCGATGAATCTCGTGATAAAATTCTTTAGGATTTGCCAACTGAAGCTCGTACTTCATGTTTGGATCGTGCCTTACGCCTGCGATTACACAGAAATTAGCATAAAAAACCCGACTTAACGTCAACATGTTAAAGAGGATATATTCTTTACCCATGAAATTGTAGTTCCACGAGCCTTGACTTGGAACCATAAAGAAGCCCAAGAAACGATCGGAAAGCAACATTTGTACTTTTTCGTAGTGACTCGGTAAATAACCCTTAGGATTGTTTCCTTTGTCGGTATTTTGTTTTCCCCATTCGAAACCACTGAAAAGCAGAGTAGATAACTCGAAAATAAACGAAAAATTATGACAAATAGATGTATGCGAATAGTAAGCATACAAACCTGGGTGTCAACTTGTAAGCTGTAAGCGAACAAGACCCTGGCGTGAAACTGCAAGTAATTACGATAGTTTTCTCTCCGTCCCAAATTGGATTTTCCGCCATTATTCGGGCATGTGTGGATATGTCCTAATCGATGCCAAAACAAATTAAAAAACCATTGTTTCTACTATGTAAAATAATAGTAATGAAGCCAAGACTACACTAATAGATCAATGGTAATATTTGATGGGATATTCTGTAAATGAAGGAGCGCTTAAGCGTTAACATGGAACGTACCTGCGGTGACAACTGTGGTAATTCATTCGGTTGAGTGTGGATCCAGCCGAGAGGTTCCATCTCCTTCAAATATTGATGATTGGGAAGCGTATTGGGTAAGTGAACGGTTTGATGGGTTCCCCACTGAGGAGCCATCACTATGCATCTGATTTCTTTTACTTGAGGGTTGTCTGGAGGGCTAATGCCGTACAAGTATCCCGCGATCTGCAAACCAAAAGAACAACGATAAACTAACTCTATTAAGTATACATATGTATAAAGTAAAACGCAAATATGGACAATTATATACCTGTGCCCGTAAATCGGAGATCGTAACAAACTTCTTGAGAACATTCTTTGGTAATATGTAAGTGTAACCAGTCTCTTTGATGTCGTCGGAGGATACATAAATGTGATTCGTTCGGAGATGTAAGTTAGTGGCGGAAATTGCTCTTACTCGCCATTCAGTCTTTGAACTGAATGTCTGCGTCTCATAGTTCGAGGTAGTTGCGGTAATAATTTCGTCGCCGTGTTTGTTCACCGTCCTCGTCGTTGTCGCTGTAAGCTGCGATTGTTCCTTCGTCTGCTTCTCTATCTCAGCGATTTGTTGTCGTTGAGCGGATGGCGCGCTTATCTCCATACCCAAGATAATGTCGCGAATCTCCGACTGGGTCAGAGACGCGACATTTACGCTAAAAAAGAAGTCATAACTTTATCTCTAATCCTTTCATAGATTCAGAATAATTCAAAACATGAAAAAGACACGTACTTGTTCTTTTTACCATAATCGGCCAGTATCAAGTCTTTCAGTTGCACCTCTACTTTGATCCATTCGTCGTCCGTCAAAGAGGGCCATATATGATGGGGTTCTGTAATAGTTGTCTTGTCGGGTTTCAATACAACTTTTGTCCTTTCAGTGTTAACATGTAGCGCGCGGAGTATAAGGATCAAACGGGAAAATGCCTAGAAAAAAATATCCATCCATTATTTAGGCATTATTGTGTTACACAGGTTGAAGAAAGAGTTGATATCTCGAAATACCGTGTACGATGAGATGGTCTTTAACCAATCGTCATACAAATTGAATAACACCATTTGCGGTTCGGTAGCTTTCAGAATTAGGTCACCAAATTTCTCGACTTTCAAACAGGCTTGGAATGGTAACTGAAGCTCGGATCCCTTGATGACAATGTTCGGGAAGTCGAGCAAGTGCACTTCCAAAGGATCCAACATTCCTTTTCTGGTCACAATGATTTGCTTGGGTTGTTCTTCCACTGGCAGGGACCGAATCAACGCAGCCACTTCCTCGGCCGTTTTCCATTTGGCCAACTGTTACGAAAATGAAGTATAAATCAATCTAATTTTTAGAACTGTTAGAATACACAGACATCTGATTTACAGACCTGACCCAAACGCTTCTGACCAGCCCAAACGGATGTATGAATTATCTTCAAGAACAATTGCCCAGTCCGAGGATTGAAAATGAAAATGGCTCCATTTATAGGTTTCGTTGTTAAATTACCTTCGAACGTTTTGTGGATAGTAACACGATACACATTGGTGTCATCCACAAACCTAACAAAATTAATAAGCTAAGAATTAATTTCTTTTCCGTTACGATAATTTGCTCAACGAAACAGAAACAAACATACCAAATGATTTGATTCGAGAAGAGTTCTCCGTAATTCTGTGAAGATAAATACGGCTCCGTAGGTTCCGATGAGTATAGTTGCAACGCTTTTCTGATACGTTCTCGTAGCACATACAAAGCTGGGTTTGCTTTCATTATTTTCGCCATTGCTTGCTGTATAAGGGGTTTGCATCCTGGGAACCAGTTTCCGTAAGCACTGCCGAATCAACAATTTTTCATTAAAAAGATATTATTTTTCCATATTATAGATCTGTTTCGTTCCGATGCATTCGCATTTTTAATACTTGCCTGTGCAGATTGTACGCCAAATCAATAGCAATCAGTAAACCTGTAGGCGATGGATAAATAGACATATTATCCGTGGTGTAATCCAAAAATTTCGCTCTGGCGTATCGTTCGATATCATGAGAATCATAATCTCCCCATCGAAGTTGCACGTCTATCCAATATTTTTGCGTGGTGGTGTTATCCATGAGATCTCTGTTAAATAATGTCTGAATGTAATAACGGGATACATATAAAATAGAAAGAGAAGAACAATTATTACTTTGAATCAGCTAACAAAGATGGCCGCGAGACGTTCCATTTGTACGCCGAGAAAAGCAAGATATCAGCGCACGAAGAATTCATTTTGTAGGATTTTCTCGGATGTATAGTTTCTTTCTGAACTGTTTCGATTTCGAGCGCGTCCAATTCCTGGTCAAACACTTGGCAAAGATCCATGACAATGGATTCGTGTACCTTCTGCCACAAATGGGCACGGAAAATTTGGATCAATGAGATCTTCAATGTTGGGATTTTACCATGCATAAATATTCCTGTCAAGTCCAATTGCACCTAGTAGAATCAGTAACAAAATTAATTAATACTATTTGAAAATGAAAAGGTTCTGACATTTAATGGCGAAAACTACTTTACCTGGAAACCAACGTATACGTTAGCTCTGTTAATAGTTGGAGACCACCATAACGTAAATCGCCGATTCGGAATTTGGTTCAAACCAGACCTTTGCGCGTTGGTTAATTTTTTGTATTTCATAGATTCTTCGAAACCAGACGCTTTTTCCCTGGAAAAGAAAAACAAAAACGATGAATTAACTATACTGATTCTTGTCTCCGTATTTGTCAAACTGATGATGATCAGATGATGATAGTAACCAGAAGCCTTACCAGAAAAGACCCTCCCATGTTGGAAAATACGTTCCTTTGAAAAGCGTATGCTCCAAGATACCCTCTACACCACCGAGTGCTTGAATCATATCTGTTCTATAATTGTTTAAATTCCAGAGTTTACCGTCGTGACGTTGATGAGTCCACCAAAACGGATTTTGCTTTAGAACCTGATACTGCTTGAATTCGGTACGTATTCTCCAGCCTTTGTCGTAAGCAAGAGTGTGCCTGTCTTTCTGGAACAGCGTATTTATTCTAGGAATACCACGGTCCCAACTATCCTCGAGATCTTCCAAAGTGAGTCTGCGATTTTGAGCGTTTGCTTCTTGACGTTTCAACGCGTATTCTGCCCATACTCTTTGCGAATCAATGAACTCTGATTCCCATGGTTGAATGTATCGGTATAAATTCGGAATCAGCTGATCCTCGTCGTGGCTCATGCCGGAACGGAAATGTGTGATACCGACATCGGTTTGTTTTGACCATCTCAAGTCAGACTGTACAGAAGATAGTATTCAATGTTATATAGAATAGTACAAGAACAGTGCCGTTTGGAAAGTACAACCAATTAAAGTACCTGAGGTATCAGAACATGTCCCATGGAAAGCATTCCCAGTCCACCCAGCTCTTTGGGCGTGTAAAACACTACCGGCGGAAATCGCGAAGGCATTTTCGAGTTCAATCCAATTTTGATACGCGTCTGAATCTTGTTCTCGCATTTGACCAACAAATCCAACAATTCCTGCGTGTTCACCACAGCTTCACGGAAATAAGTCATCAGCCCGATCAAAGCAGTATTCCACTTGTTCACAATTTTTGTGAATGTCGTGGACCCAGAGGCCATGAGAATTTGCCGAACCCTATTATGGAACCGTTGCAAACTTTCATCATCGACTCTCAGAAAACATTGAGCCGTTCTTTCCTTTGTTATTTCATTTTGCAGATTCCACACACCGTCTCTGTGTGTGAATTCTTCGTGCGTGGTTCTGCATTTTGGTAATATTCTGCACTCGAACCCACTCATGTTGAACAGTAAATTCGGATTATCTTTGCTGTACACGCTAACGAAACTATTCTCCCACTGAATCGTGGTCGTAGAACGAGGTAAACGATTTTTAATATCCCAAAACACAGCACGGCCCCTGCAAACATTGAATATTAGTGTAGGAAACAGTATGTTTCATAACTATTCCATTTACTGCTAAACAGTGACGCGCACAAAGTACAATACAAGGAGACAGTAAAGAAGGATACAATAATCCTTGTAATAAAAAATAATTCTTGCTTGTCTCTACTTACAAGTTAACGTCGTGTTTCATGAGTCGCATTCGCGCATCTCGAGGCCAACATTTTTTATTATTGTAGCCAACAATATTCTCATTGTTAGGATCTGGATGTTCCGTTAAATATCTCTGAATCAAATCTCTTGCTTCATCGGCGGAGAACCTAGAAGAAATGAAGCGATCCATATATAAACGCACTCAAGAGAAAGACTCGTTATTTTAAAAGGACCAAAGATCCCACCTTAAAAACAAGTGAATCCTGTCCACGTATCTACAATATAATCTAATCGGATGCGCAGTTTCGGACGCAACGTCTTGAAAAGTTAAGAAGTCGTTCGGCATTTGTGGAGGGCCAGCCATTTCGCTAGCTCTCTGCAATCCGAGAACGAGCAGATCCAATACGAGACCGTAATATTGTGCTATGAACGATGCAAACTGCAACCCTCTGATTATTCCATAACTGTTTGTGTGATTCATATCCTGTGAACGAAAAACAAATAAACATTCGTGCATTTATTTCTTCCTGTTATTGCTATTACTACTGGTCGAGTTGTAGTTTTGTATTCTTTGAAAATACCTTGTAATTGATAACAACGTTATTCTTTGCAGTCATATAATCGGCTATATTGTGATCGACGATCAATCTAAGCAATCTGTTCAACAAGGTCAAGTCAATTTTCTCATACAATTTCTCAAATTTCGATTCCAGTAAAACGTTACATTCTCCTTCGCTAACGTCCCAGACATCTTGCAAATTATTGATACCCTGACACCATTTGTAGACTAGCAACGGAGGTGGTTCTGTATCCGAAGGTTTTACCCATGGCGGGAACAATCTTCGCTTGTCCGCTTCGTACCATAGATATTGATCCAAGTAAGCGTCTGTAATTTTTTCAAGCGGCTCCACGTCATAAACTGGAATTAGATGGCTGTAAAGATCCATAAATTCGATTCCCACCTATAAAAGAAAAATAGACAAGACTCGAAAAGGTTATATTAAACAGATCAAGATTCTAAGTGCAAGCATAGTTTTTCAGTTTACCTCTTTGAACGCCCTTTGTGTTAAAAGATGACGCTTGATTCTAGACAGTGCCTCGTGTGGATTATCATAGGCTTGTTCAATTAGACCAAGCTCTTCGCGTTGGCTTTGATTCAATCTTGATTTTACGCTGTACGCTTCTTTCAAACGTTCCAAAGCTAATATCAACAGTTTAGTGTCGTGTTTATAAGACAATGGTGGGAAAGGTATAGGAGCGAATCTTCTAGATTCTAACCAGTGCACAGTTGTAGTATAGATAGCTACCGCCTCTTCCGGAGATATGTATGGACCGTCCTGTGAATACATTTAAATTTTCTAATTCCTTCCACATTTATGAATCCTCGAATGTTTTATATGTAGTATACTGTACCTTCAAATAATTATGTTGCCGTTCCTGTTCCGCTTTCAAATACAAGCGAGTTAAACGACCAAGGTTCTTCTTGCAAACAGTCTTGTCGACGGTCGCACCACGTCTAATACGTTCACGATTATAATGTGCCGTATTGGTCCACCAGTCAGCCTTCATCTTCACGTAACGAAGAATCATATTTTCTATAGGGATCGGCAGTCCAGGAACCTGTTAAGATTGATTCAAAATAAGACATTGTTGCGAAGTGCTATAGCTTGGCATTATACATATACACAATGATGTGATTTAATCTAATAAAGACGAACCTTCCAAGGAATATTAGCTTTCCAGCATCTCCAGGCTTCACTAAGATGCTGAAGTATCGTTCGGGCTTTATTTTGCTTTATCCCCTCCGGCATCATGTCTACGATATCGTGCATCACTGATGCTCGTAATTCAAGATCAAAATGCGATTCCACACGCTGCTTGGTTACAGTTTTCGCGACACCTTTAGAGTGTCGTCCTTCGAACTGTCTGGATAAGAGATTGCCTAACCATCTCTCCAACAGAGGAGTTATTCCCCTCATGAAAAAGAGCCATACTCTCCAGCCAGGCGCCCAGAATCCACAACCAGGTCCTTTGCCGACAGGCCCCTGTTACCAATTATATCCAAAATCAACAAACTCGGTATTTAGTTGAAAGCTAAGCGGTAAACATTCTTTTAAATACTCACCGTATTGAAACGATAATAAATCAAATGCTTCAAATCTTTACACATTCTGATTTGTCTCATCAGTTTATATTTGTACCTGTACATTCCAGTTAATTGACCCACGTGTGCGAAGATATACTGTAAACCGTCAGCAAGTTGAAACGCGTCGACGTTGTTTAGACGATATTGCACGTGGGAGTCGATAATCAATTTCGTTAGACGTAGAATTTCACGACACAAATGGAAGGCTGTAAAACGAAGTACGCTATGAAATTATACCGAACTTACAAATGAAAGTACCAATACCCAGAAACGACACTCACCGTTTCCGAATCTGGATTTCTTCCTCTCTTTAGTGGTCAAGGTTTTTACAGGCTTCAAATTGAAATTGTAATCCAAATGGAGGTAATTCAAGTTCTTTCTGTGAATCAATAGATTCAACATATTGTATCCCTGCCTGCATACTTGTAAACCAGCTTCGACCCAATCTATCGTAGTAGTTTGGAAGAACTTTGTCGATTTAAACGATCGGAACAAGTAACGTTTCTTTTGTGGTTTTGGAGGTCTGTGCTTCAAAGCATTCAAAACGAAATATTTTAGCAATTTTTGATAGCTGACACGAACTTTAACGGGCTGTCCAGGAGGACAGTGTTCTCTGTACCAAGACTTCACCAAAGGAATGTCGATGGCTCTTCTGGTTCTACCAGACCGTGTGTTAAACGGTCTTGGTGCCCACAGTAAAGCAATACCATTCGCAGTATTATCAGTATATAGTGGAGTCTCTTGTAAGAACGGCTGCACTTCTTCAGGGAGCACAAAATCTTCGTCATCTTCGATTTGTGGTTCGACGGTCTGAAAAATGATGGAGACAGCAATTAATTTTTTTATACAAGTAAATTATCGTTGCTGTATTGTGCAACAATATGTCTATAAATTTTACCTTCAAGGAGTTTCTATGCGAAATAGGGTTGATTAATGGATCAAAATAAAATGCAGGTAAATCAGGATCCTCGGTTTTTATATAAACAACATTTGGAGCATGATACCTGCGAACACATCACATATACACTTCAATATACATATAAAACATGTGTCTCTTGTGCTAATGTGTTTAAAGTTTAGCAAAGTAAAAGAAATGTGGGTGATTTCAGCAGTTTCCTTCTAATACTTTAGGAAGGATACGAATAACGGTCACCGTTGCGTTTTTTTCTCTACCACACTGCTAGTAAGACTTCACTATACTAAAAACTTTGTTCGTCTTAAAACTTGCGTGGATAATATCAAACAAAACAAAAAAAAAAGGACGATATATACGTCCCTTTATCTTAATACTCACCATGATAGATGCACAAAGTGTGGCATATTATTGTACAAATAGGGAAATGCGATGCGGTACTCTGTTCTTATAGGTTGCCTGATTATAATTTTATTTATGTCGTTGAACTCGTTCCAATCTTCATCGGCCGCGTTCGAATCCTTCACCAATGGTTCGAACTTCGGTCCACCAGGTATAGCCATGTTCAACGCTTTCGCAGTAAAGAATGATTTTGGATCGAAAAGGTAGAAGAAATTTTGATCCACTAAATCTGTTAGCAATTGATTAGCCAAGCGGTACAATGTTGCCATTTGAGGTAACGTCAAATTCCATCTTCGATAGGTAGACCCATTTACATGCCTACAATGTAACGATTAATTTGCAGACTAGAAATCTTTCTACAATATATTTAGTTTACGATGCATATCAAATTAGATCATTCAGCGTAGCGTTTTGTCCAGTTCATGATGACCCACAATATTCGTCTCGGACAAAAATTGTGCAATTACCAGAACCATCAACTCACATATCAGTTGATTTCAGGACCCCTACGCGACTCATCATTGGATCGTATATATTGTTCGCAATTCGAAAAAAACGATGGGAATTTCTAAAAAAATGTATACTCGTACTTTGTGCCAACCAGAGGTTTGTGTTCATAAAACCACGCAGCCACAGATTCATCCTCCTCTGAATCAAGTTCAATCTGAATAGCTTCTAAAGGTTCTACATCCAAAACGTTGTCCGCATAATCTAGCGGTGGTTCTTCGTCATCGAAAGGTGGAAATCTCATTCTTTTAAAGTGTCGGCGATCCCTTTTTTCTCTTCGCATCATAATCCACATTGTTCTACGTAATGGAAATAATCTTCATTAGTTACATATTGTATAGAGCTAATAATCAGAGTAAAAGTATCTTCTGCCTCTTACCCCCATTGAGCAATATACACAGGTTCTATAACCCATGGAATTTCATTTACAAATGTAATTGCTCCAGTTATATGATACAGCACTTTCACATCACGGATTTGTTCCCAAGGCATTGGCATATTTTCCAAAAGTTTCATTACTGCATGAGGCATGTATTTCAATGCTCTGCAAAAGAACAACAATATAATTCTACTCATTTCAATTCTCCTGTTTATTACATCAAATATTTACCCTAAATAAACTCGTTTGTCATGTCTATATTTACGACTACTCATGTCTCCATGATCTCTAATAATTTTTCTTATATGCTCAGGTGGCATATCCTCTTTCTGAGCATCCACGAAACCAAATTTTCTCTTCTCGGCAAATCTTTTCGATTGAAGTTGTTGCCATTTTTGAGCTATAAGATTGAATAAAATTTATATAATTATTGTACTATTCACAATTATCTATCGTTCTACATAATATTATACAAAACAATGATTATTTATTACCTTTTTCTTGAAGCTTATCTTCTGATAAAACTTCGGGTTGTTTAGGGATTTGCGGTAATGGAGGCCCTGCTATTGCTTGCATGTGAGCATGATGAGCAGCCTGCGCATGAGCTGCTGCTTGAGCATGAGCTTGAGCAGCTGCTAACTGCGCATGGGCCTGTTGTTGGGCCATCATGGTGGCCCATGGATTTGGGCCTAGCAAATACGGTGGGATCGACATTTTGATGTCAATATTCTAGAAGAAACACCGCAATTATTAAATTGTAATATAAAAAGAATCAATGTTGTTAATAAAACTCTAAAACAGCATAGTAATTATCAGGTAAAACCATTAGTTAAGAAGAAAGCTTGCAATCATAATTTAGCATTAATATTATAGAGTAAACGTTAATAATGATGTATCGGAGCAGGTACTTATAAATTACAAAGTTAGAGTAGCTACTACTTTTGCGCAGAACTTAATAAATAATTACCTCAGTTCAATTTTACATGAATTGAAACACTATCAGCACTAACGCTAAATGTATTTAGCAGAAAAGTGACGCTCTAAAGCAATGCCAACAACATGGTCGTCGTTTTCACAGATTAACCTTAACCCACAGATCAACGAATAAACACGGAGAAGATAGTGAAGTTGAAATCTATACGCGTTAAAGATGGACGACAAACCCGGCACGAAGCAACAGAGGCGGCTTAATTCGTCACGTGATAGATGTCTCCACTGTAATTGGTGCTTTTTTACTACAGCAGCGCATGTATCCATAAATGTGTTCTTCATATTAATAAAAATAGTAAAAAATCTGTTCGTTGTAGGTGTTGCATTAGATACTCAGATGATTCTCCTGCATTTGTATCATACAAAAAAAGTTTATTTATTGTTGTTTGTGCGATAATGGTGCTTCTTGAGACAGAGCATTTTTGGAAACTGGTCCAAAATGTGCTGCAGAGTGGTGGAAGAGAGATCTTACACATGGGATTGGATGATGCCACTCTGCAGCATATTTCAGAGCAGTCTCCGAAAATGCTCTGTCTCTGTCGTATTNGTAAATTTGGAATTATTTTACTGTCGCCAAAGGACTTGTAATTACCAGAATTCGAAAATATTCCACAGCTGTACACTAAGAAAGCCTAAAAATATATATGCAATTAAAAGTGGGGAAATTTGATTTAATATCGACAATTTACCGTAAATTCATCTTCGCTGACTCCAGCATCAAGCGCAGATTTTTTCAATTCTTCTATGTTTTGAGCTTTAAAAATTTTATGTAAAAGAGCAAATAGCAGCGGCGATTCGGGAGAAGTTTGTACGTACACGATAAGACCACCGCTCCATGCAGCTTGACTTAAATAATGTGCATACAATTTCTCCTTTGCTGTCAAACCATTAAATGCGGTTTCACATTCTAAGGCTACCAGTGGTTGGTTGTTTGGCAAAACATATAAAGAGGTGTCTTCAGTCATTTTCGTATATAGGTGCTTAACACTGAAATGTAAAATTACGTTTTATAATTTAACAATCCGGGATTCAAATCGGAATGTATCAGATTGATACAGCGAACCGGCGAACATATGTACTTTAGTTTACTGCTCTGTGACGAACACAGAATGATAAACAAGAAGGGAGGGGATAACTCGAGACACCTGACGACATTTGACCGTTTATCAACATGTCTGTTTATATACTGACAATGAGTCCTCCCGGCGAAGGTTAATCAGATTTAACAAATTCGTCCACGAAAAGATTATTATACGCAAATTATACACTGTGGAAATCTGTCATTTTCTCGTAGATAGTTTATACCAGGACTTGGAATTAACTAATTATTATATTAACCTTGGAATTAACAAGGCAGAGACAGAGCATTTTCGCTCTGAAATGAGATTGGATGATGCCACTCTGCAGCATATTTCAGAGCAGTCTCCGAAAATGCTCTGTCTCTGTCGTATTTTATTTGTAGCCACTATAATCACATCGAAATGCGCTTTTTTGTGAACAAGTAAAATCTAATTCACTTATACTGGAAGATAAAGGATAACAAAAAAAAGAAAATTACTTTAATCGGATTACATATTATTATCATTTACTTTAGATCGGTATCTGACCCTCAATTACATTATGATTAGATTCACGAAATATTTAGAAACTCTACCGTGAACTCAAAAGCATTCAAAGTTGCACATATCGATGTTAATCGTGAAATGTGGTTTCACAACGAAAGATGTCTCCGGAGATGCTTCCTGTGCTCACTATCAGATGGATACCATCCAGTAGGGAATGCCAACTGTCGGAGCTACCTCCGGCATTCGCCGCCAGATGGATTCTCTTTTCCCTCATGTAACCGATCTGTCTCAATGCATATGTACATAACCTCGCGTCTAAGGCATGGCCCGCTAGAAAAACCTTACTAACGAATTTTCTAGCGGGAATTAATATGTAGAAACCGGAGTTCAATTATAAAAATTCCATAAATTATTATTATATCAGAAGCTTTATTATGTGTATCGTAAATAAGATTAATAAATAAAATTAATTATAGTGTTACACAAAGTTGGAAAAACTGTCATAAATAAATTATTGTGAATATTAAACTTCAAGTGCGTTGTGAGTAATGACCAATGTAACGTAAAACTATTCAAATTTATTTAAATAGGCTCTGAACGTTCATGATATTGTTTTAATGAAGATGTTAAATTCTTTTTTAAGTACACTTCTACGACTCGCTATATGTATACACATCTTAACAGATTACATGATTAATTTTGGTAAAGGTGCTCAGGAAATAATTTTTTATTATAGATTTTGGTACACATATTTACATAAATATGTCTATACTCTATATTACAAACATGAAGGTATTGCAAACAAATTAATAGATGCTGTCGCACATTCAACTCCATCTTCTTCACGATTGAGGCGGAAATCGATTATGTTGCAAAGACACAGTTTCTAACTCACCAATCAGCTTAAATATATCCATATGTACACACACGATCAAAACGAAATGCACAAATTTTAGTGCTTACATCTAAAGAGACACTGGCCACTTGTAAATTGGATATGTTTGTATCTTTTGATCAAATTGGGTTCAAATCAAATCTATATTGGGTATAGAAAATCAAAAATCGCGTTGAAGTATCAGAAGTTCCAGAAGTTTCAGAAGGTCCTGAAGTTCCAGATGTTCCAGGAGGTCCAGAAGTTCCAGAAAGTCCCAGTCGTTCCAAGGGGCCAATAAGAGAGGGCTACCTGATTGCGACCTTTGAATCATCCGCCACTTACTTTCGCACGTTATTTCAATATGTAATCAAGTGCATCTTTCTGCTGGCCTTTTATTAGCAACTTTAACATTAATTATCCTAAAATTTATATACTGTCTATTTCAAAATCCGGATATCATTGGAATCAGCTTCTAAGTTCTATTATTGTACCAAATCTCATTAAAAAGTGTGCGTCAACTCTGGGGGATCTTCTTTTGTCAGGTGGATGTCCGCCTTATGTTATTAAATGATCGACTGTTAACCAAGCTGCTATTTCTGTTGCTGTTGGCCATTCATGTTCCAGAAAGTCCATAAGTTCCATAAGTTCCAGAAAGTCTAGAAGTTCCAGAAGTTGCAGAAAGTCCACGAGTTCCAGAGGTTTCAGAATTTCTAGAAAGTCCAGAAGTTCCAGAATTTTCAGTC